AAGTTTGTGGCAAGGTGTAACACTAAATTAGCATAAATATGTTACGAGCTAATTAAACAAATACTTTTGCGCGAATTGAATCGCTTTGCACGTTCAGAGTGGGTTTTAAGTCTCTGATGAAAAGCATTTCGTTCACCAAACAATCGAACTTGTTACTACACTTTTTCAGAATGCTAAAACGTTTCAGTAGGTCTTTCGGGACTTCGCTGTGCCGTTCGTGGTAGTGTTTATATATTGAAGATGCCTTTCGTTTATGTCCATCCACGCGTGTGTGTAAGTGTCCGCGTGTATAGCCCACATAACCCGCATCACACAGGTCACATTGAAATTGATAAACGACGCGTTGTTGGTTGACAATCTGTGGCTTGATTTCTCGTACTTTAAGATCTTGGCCAACTTTGCGGCTAACAAATACTGGCTGGACAGTTGTCTGCACCTTCATGCTAAGATTCTTGAGCTCTTTCTTAACATAATTTGCTGATTCCTGATCTTTGAAAGGTATGACCACACGAACAATGGATATTGGTTCTTTGGGCGTCTGTGTGGGCTGCGTACCAACAATTCTTGATTGTAAGAAGGTGTTAATGGTAGAATTTACCAGGCGTTCCGGGTATTTAAGCCGTGCGAAAACTTTCTTTAGGCGATCACACTCATCAGAGAAATGGGCCCAGGAGGAAGATAATCGGTGTGCGCGATCCAGCATAGTTTTCAGCAAGCTCCGTTTGTAGCGATTGTCTACATGGCTTTGGTAGTGTAATAGTAGGCCCGTGTTTGTTGGTTTCACATATACCTTGGTTTCAATCCGAGGTGCATGGTTGAGTAGTTCGGTGCCAAGGAAAGGAAGCTTGCTGTTCTTCTCCACCTCCATGGTGAATTTGACCGAAGTGTGGGCCACAAACTTCATTGTTTATTTCTCCTTGACAATGGCATCATGATGACACCGAAACGTCGGTTTTTATCGTTAGTTTTTGCAAGTCTTTGCATTTTTCTCTTCCTTTCTATTATTTCCCTTCCTTTTTTTTTTTTTGTTCCACCCACCAACCTACTTTTGCTGGAGCAGGGGTTTCATTAATGTTTTCAGCAGGAGGGCAACTGGTTTTCACAGGCGGGAAAAAGTTTTCAAACTGAACTTCTTTATAAGATAAACTTTCCTCCAGATTGTGAAATCAGGTGGGCAAAACCATCCTCACAACTAGTCAATTTGCCTGGTGCCCAGCCCTTAATGAAACCCCATCTGGAGAAAAGGCATTGGGCAACAAAATCTTTCATAAGAATGGCATTAGTTATTTTTCACGATAAAAAAGCTTTAAGCAGTTGTCAGTCTTGCTTTTCCAAATTCGATACTCATTAAGTACAGGGCCCAAAATTAATCTTTGGAGCACTAACCCTTCAGGTTAGTGGACATCTTTTTTACTAACCAAATTATAAAGTTTGGTAATTCCAAGCTCACAAGGTACGATATCTCAAATATTCAACATTTTGATAATAACGACTAGGACAAATTAAAGAGTAGCTGAAATGTTGACAATTATGTACTTATTTTATTTCCCTCTTGTTTTACTATGATTAGTCAAGAACAGTACATCTACAGCACATTCTCTAAAAAGAGTTTAAGTTGATTTAACAACTTGAGTGTTCTAAGTATTTCTCTGAGAGTCGGGTCTACGTGCTCTTTGTCCTGAAGTCCACCAATGTTTAAATATTTTGGAAAATTTTACTAACTACGTCGGGTTAGTTGGACACATTTTTAGTAACTAAACATTGAAAATTACTAACCATTGGTTAACAGGTTACCATTAATTTCTAGCCCTGAAGTATCAGTTTAACAAACAGATTCTGTATTACTGTGTGTCTGTTCAGTACTAGATCAGAGATAACAACAATAATAACAACAATAATAATTATAATAATTTAATATTTATATTGCACAAATTGACATTTGGATATGATCAAATGCACATCAAAACACTTTTCAGGGGACTTTGGCTGGACTGCATCTGCAGTTTACAATCAATAGAAGAAACTTATTTGCAATTCAGCTCGTTAAATAGCACACTGTACTTGATGAGTAATGCAAGTTTCATTGTGATCTCTTTTCTTGTTGTGAGGTCCTGCATACAGTGTCGAATATTATGCCAAACTGAAAGAAAGCTACGTAACAGCTACTGGTTCACAAGATGACCTTATAGCCATCTATGAATTTAAGGTGTTGTCCACAGCCAGTTATGTGGTTTGGAAGCAAACGTTTGCCACAAACAACACAACAAATGGTGTCTCCTTTAGAGTTGATGAGGGTGATTGGTATGTCTGGCAACTGCCATTCAAAGGATCTAGTTCCTTATGGACACAGTTCTACCATCAGGTATTTTTTTAAGAACAGTTTAGCTCGATCTTTCATTTTGAGTGATCCAGAAAATATGAATACTTGATCTTTATTAAGTTATTGTTTTTTCATTTCTTTTTTTTTTTTCAGCAATTCAAGTTGAGACCTGGAATTCATAAAGTGTCTTTGAGACAACGAGAGTTTGGTTTCCGTGTATCCAAACTTGCTCTTGTTCCAGTTTTTCTAACAATGTGGGCTGACCTAGGAATGCAGAGCCGTTATATCCCAGATGGATCTCTTTCTGCATTTCCCCTTAATAATTACCCAGAACCAAGATATGGAAGACTGCATGCAAAAGGTTTGATATTTTTGTTAAATTCAGTTCTGTTATTTCCTTAATCCTCATAATCAGGTGAGCTAGGAGACAATTGAAAGTAAATAGAAGACAGCCTAGGTTTGGATTAAAAGGAACATACACATAAAAAGATTTTATGTAGATATTATGTACATGTTGCTTAAAACAAATGCTAGGTCAAAATGATAGAGTTCAATTTTTTATCAAATTTTATATGTTGTGGAAAACCTTAGTTACAATGGTGATCAAAAGTTTACCGAACACCTCCAAAAC